AAAAGAAAAAAAAAAAAAAGAATATATATATATATATATATATAATATATATATATATATATATTATATATATATATATGTGTGTGTGTGTGGTGTGTGTGTGTGTGTGTGTGTGTGTGTATATATATATATATATATATATATATACATATATATATATACACACATATACATACACATATGGTAGAAAAACCCACAATGTAAAAACTAGATTTATTGCATACATATATATATATACATATATATATATATATATATATATATATATATATATATATATATATATATATATATATATATATATATGACTGCCGCGATAGCTCAGTGGTTAGAGCACTGGACTCCGACCCTCGTGGTCCCGGGTTCAAATCCCCGTCGCGGCGGTCGTAAAAATGCCTGCGCTCTGACTGCTTACTCGAGCCCGTGAAAACGACATATCAGCTTGAGAAGTCAAACGCAGGTGTCGTAGGGGAAGTCACCGCCGTGGCACAAGCGTTAAAAGCGCCGAACCGCGGTTGATTAGGAAGGGCATTCAATCAGGCAAGGGTGACACCGCCATATAACCTCTCAATACTGAATTGAGAGAGGCCTATGTCCTGCAGTGGAATGAATGGCTGTTGAAAAAAAAGAAAAAAAAAAAAGAATATATATATATATATATATATATATATATATATATATATATATATATATATATATATATGTGTGTGTGTGTGTGTGTGTGTGTGTGTGTGTGTGTATGTATATATATATATATATATATATATATATATATATATATATATATATATATATATATATGTATGTGTGTGCAGGCCAATAACAGAACTATTATAATACAACGGGAATTTAAGCAGCTTTCTTTAGCTCCTTAATTGACCAAAACGTATAAGAAAGTGGAAATGATGGAAAAAGAAAAGAAAAACGATAACGATGAGTGAAACCAGTGAATAAAGAAAGCGATACGATAAAGAGTAAAACAGAAAATATAAGATTTAAAAATGATACAATAAATAATGTAAATTGTTCTCGAAAAGAGATGATAATGATGTAATGATAGTAAAAACATTATACGCATGACATAAAATTTCAACCAAATTATGATAATAGCAATAATATCTGACCGATGGAGGGATAATGATGATAGTGACTATAATTGGATAGAATAAAAATGATAAAAATGACTGACAATGATAAATAATGATGTAAACGGCATTTTCTGGTTTAATTTCTGCAGCTCCGTCACCGAGCAACATCCCCGTGACCGAAAAAGGGATAATAACGATAATACTAATGACCAAAACAGTAAAAGAACAATAATCATCATGACATTAAATAATAAAAAACAATAATAAAAAAAACAGCAATTTCTGGGCTGGCGTCCTTAGCTCCTTGATCGACCAACTTTCCCGCCAAATTGAAAAAGTTAGCCGCCATGACGGAGTGTGCTGGCGGTGATATGCCTCAGCCGGGCACGGAGACATCCTCTCAAGGGACCGCCGCAGCCTCCGCCGCCCGCCACAAATAATTAAAAGGATAGAAATGGTTCATTTAGATTAACAACAAAAAAAGAGGGGAGAAAGGAAAAAAAAGGGGGGGATAGAAGGAAAGAAAAAGAATTTCGTTGGTTCTGGGGGGGTTTCCTTGGGTAAGGGGGGAGGGGCATGTATAGAGGGAGGGGAGGGGGGTACGCTGAAATGAAGGGAGAAGGAGGATAAAGTTAGGAAAAAGAATTTTATATATATTTTTTTCCTTTGGTTTATTTTCTCCGAATTTTTCTATTTTTTTCATATATTCTTTTCCCCGTTTTCTTCCTCCTCGGGAACCCCCTTGAACGCGAGCAAGCCGGTGCGAGTGAAGAAACGGCGGCAAAATGTGTCGGGAAGATAACGCTCTCTTTGGTCCCACGGTGCCGCGTTGCCTGAGGCGCGACGCATCCCCTAAAATCACCCCTTTCCTCCCTCCCCACAAAACCCCACCACAAACTACCAACCCCAACGAACGGAAACCCCACCAAAACACCCAACCCAAATAACCCCAACCCCGAAAGTAGACCAACGAAAAAAGACAACAATAAAGACACGTTCCGAAGTCGAATCGTCGCGCATCCGCCACCCCAGCCGTCAGCGCGCTACAGTGAGTTGATAAAAAGCGCGAGAAAGCGACGGGGTTCATCTTTTTAATCGGCGGCTTCGGGGGATCGCGTCGCCGCCGCTCTCGCCCGTGATTGGCAAGCGCCTTTTGCCTTTCTCTTCTATTCTTGCCCTTTTTTTTATTTGTTTTTTTATTCTCTTCTTTACTTTATTTCTGAGTTTTTTTTTGTTGCTTTGCTTTTTTCTCCATTTCTATTTCTTTATTCCGCTTCCCTTTTCTTCTATCTCTTTTCTTGCACTGATAGATGGATGATTTTTTTTATTTTTTTTACATGAAATAACATTATACTTGATGTATTTATCTTTGATATTTTATTTCCATGTTCCTACATACACACACACACACA